TGCAATTGCGTATGTCTATGGATTGTGGTCGTTTCGCTGTTTCAACGATTTCGGGTATCCGTTCGGTCGTTTGTCACTTTATGATATAAAAAATAAACAGACAAAAATTATTCAAAATTAATTTTTCGTTATCACAAACACAAATACGTGTACGAAATATATTTCTCTACTTACAGACACGCATATTTTATTTATATGTATTAGATTCTTCACCTTTGTTCAGGTGGGTGTTAACTGTGGGTATACAAAAGTACCCCATGGGGTCGGTTTGGGGTTTTCTTATGTAAATATTAAGTTATGAATTTTTTTACAAATAAAAGAAATGATTATAAAATTACGTTTCATTTTTATCGTCCACTAGCTGTTGCACATGACTGCGTATGGAATTAAATAATAGTAGTCTATGTGTTCTTCCAGACTATGTTCTATGACGTCAGCGAGATCCATTCTGGAGATATCTTCTAACATACATCTAAACATTCGCATTTATAATATTAGTAAGTAGTAGGCTATGTGTTCTTCCAGACTATGTTCTACATCTATGTCATCAGTGCTATCTATGCAGTTGTTCTGGAGATATCTTCTAACATACATCTAAACATTCGCATTTATAATATTAGTAAGAAGTCTAGATATGTTTATTAGTAATTTTATAGTTTCGTTTTGATAGAAATAATGGTTGTTTCAAAACTGAAGTGATTTTTTACCATTGTTCCACAATCCACATAATTTCCTTAAAAGAATTTTAGTTTCAAGTAGCGTTTAAATCTAACTTCTTAATGTAAATGCGAATGTTTAGATGGATGTTTGTTTGAAGATATCTCTAGAACTGCTGAACAGATCTTGATGAAATTTGTCATACATATAGAACATAGTCAGGAAGAACACATAGGTTACTTAAGTTTTTTTTTAATTCGCAGAGTCGCGGGCGACGGCTAGTATTATTGTAACTAAGACAAAAAGATATATAAAATCTTTCCAATCGAATATATATGTATATAATCCAGTCCCAAATTAAGCGGCAAGCACAAAGACTGGCCGAAACCGCCCGTTGAAAAGAAACTTTAAGAAAAAATGACACCCCTCTCGCTTGCACATATAGCGCTGTCCCTTTCTGACATGTTCAACAATAAATGGTTCGAAATTCAAACGGAGATAAAAAACGACGCTCGTGTGGGTCAATTTATAAATGGTATGCGTTGTGTTACCATGTTTCTAGTTCGAATTTTAAATTGTAGTGAAAATAAAAATTGGAACGTTCCCTAGAGAGTTGGTTTTTGAGCATTCCTCTATTAAAAAAAATATATATTAGCTGTCGCACGCGACTTTCCGCGCGGAATTAAAAGGATAACTTAACTAGTAGCCTATATACTCTTCTAGACTATGTTACATTTATGCTATACATCCATGCAGCTGTTCTGAAGATACCTGCTAACATCCTATACGTATTTTAATTGTCAAAAGATCTCTTCTTATATTTTTACAACTAAAATGAATTTTGGAAATATTTCTTTAGTAATAAATACGAACGAAATTATAATTTTTAGTTATTTAAATGTATCACGTAATGTTACATATACATTCGAAAAAATACATAAAAAAAAATTCCACATTTTTCGGGAGATTTTAAAGCACTGGCAACACTGTATATTTAAACAAGATGGCCGCCGACTTAGATTGGAGTCAATTGTTTCTAGGAATCGTTTTGATTGCTTCGTTGGGGACTTTACGTGATTGGACGATATGAATATTGACAGTGAGGCGGGCATTTAAATTATAAGTGACGTAAATTTACCAAATATACATAATGAATCATCCTGTATCCCTTTCCTTATTTGGGGATATACAGTATGTTCTTCCATACATCTATAAGACGTCACAATTCTCTAGTATAACCTCTTTCATACAATGCTTTCATCTGATTGCCTCTAACTTTATAAAAACTTTCAAGCTTATTCTCTTGTTTATTTGGCCAGTAACTTACTAATATTATAAATGCGAATGTTTATATGTTTTTAAGAATGTATCTCCAGAACGTCTGCATGGATCTCGCCGATAAATAAAGATGCATAACAAAGTGACTCAGGTTGTGTTCTTCCAGACTTTCTACATCCGTTGCGTCGTTCTACTAACAAACTACTGACACTGACACTAACAAACATCTAAACATTCGCATTTATAATAGTAAGATTACCTACAAACGGCATGATTTATTTTATATATAAAATTCTCGTGTCACAATTTTCGTTTCCATACTCCTCGGAAACGGCTTGACCGATTCTCATGAAATTTTGTATGCATATTGAGTAGCTCTGACAATCGGCCAACATCTATTTTATAATCACGCGCGGACGGAATCGCAAGCGACAGCTAGTAAATCTATAGATACCAAGAGGCAATGCTCTTTCACTTTCGACACAAGCACCGTGACGGCGTCCATTGTCAAGGTTGTTATGTAATGATTATTTATATATTGTTTGACAGTTCATGGTTAGTAGAGTAAATAAGACAGATATGTAGTACTCAACGCTGGCTTCCTTCACCGTAAGACATTTATCGTATGTTGTTACGGTGAAGGAAAACATCGTGATGCTGCACATATCTGACAAACTCAAAGATATGTGTCAAGTCTTGCACTGGACCAGCATTCACTATCATATAGAGAGTGGGAACGTATAGTAACCTGATAATGACTACTCATGCCTCTCTCTGTCTGTCCTTTTCCCCTTTTCTTCCATCAACCTTAATATATTTCCTCTACCTCCAAATTCAATCATGTCAAGATACGTCTTACTATTATAATATTATAAATGCGAATGTTTAGATGTATGTTTGTTAGAAGGTATCTTTAGACCAGCTGCATGGATCTTGCTGAAAGGCATAGATGTAGAACATAGTCTGGAAGAACACATAGGCTACTAATTAAGTTTTTTTTTTTAATTCCTCACGCTAGCTATATATAAATGCAGATATCAACTTGTCCTTTGTTTATTCACCTTGAAGGTCGTCACGAAATGGCGGCAATTTTGACAATTGTTTGTTTTTTTTTAACAATAAAAAGCAGTCAATAGCTATGATTCGTATCGGTTTATTTTGAATGGTTTTATTTTTAGAATGAAACCCTTTTTGGTTAAATCTTAAATTAGTTACCTACGAGATTATATTGAAGAGCTGTCGCTCGTGACTACTGGATTTAAAATTAAACTTAATTAGTAGTCTATGTGTTCTTCCAGACTATGTTCTATATGTATGTCAAATTTCAGCAAGATTCGTTGAGCTGTTCTGGAGATACCTTCTAACATCTAAACTTTCGCATATATATAAAAGAAAGTGGTGTTAGTTACACTATGTATAACTCAAGAACGGCTTTACCGATATGCCTGAAAATTAGTGAGGAGGTAGATTAGAGCCAGGAGACGGACATAGGATACTATTTATTCATTTTTTTTTCGAATTTATGCCTTAAAGAGCTGCTTTTTATTTAACTAACTAATATTATAAATACGAATGTTTAGATGGATGTGATGTGGCTGGATGGATGGGTGTTTGAAGATATATCTAGAACGGCTGAACGGATCTCGATTAAATTTGGCATACGTATAGAACATAGTCTGAAAGAACACATAGGCTATACTAATTAAGTGTTTTTATACATCCACGTGGACGGAGTCGCGGACGACTGCTAGTTTGTAATATAATATAGATCTGGCTGTCTGTTTCACCTTTATTAGTTCGCTAAATTTACTTAAAAGGGGTAAACATGTCTTGTCAATTTTGACAACACTTAAACTACCGTTATTTTGAAATGTAGCAAAAAAATTGCCCCCGTAATATAACAAAAGAAGGATTAAATCCTCTTTGGTGTTGAAGTATGCCACTGCGGTTTGGGACTGGCCATTGTTTTTGTATTTTTTTCTTTGGAGAAAGATGAAAAAGTTAATTGTTTTGAAATGGCCAGTATTTAGTACGATTATAAAATATGTTCCCTAGAGTCTTGTTGATATATGATCTATAGAATGTTCTTACGATCTTTTTGGCGGGAAGTTTATTTAAAACTTTTGTAAAGTCAACCTTATTCTCAAAAATAATGAAATAGAATAAGACCCTTCGTATAAGATGTGTAGCGCGCGACATATAACGTGGAATCGTTGACACGAATCGTTTTTTCGATAAGTATAGATGTCCTCCAACATCTTGAAAATTGCAGTGACATTTCTCACGACGATCTTGACAAATAAATTTCAGTCGGCGACGCGCACTAGCTTTAAGTTGTGTTGAAAAGAGCCTACGTGTTACTCAAATCCAATTGACAACCAATTTAAAAATTATAAACATTAAAAAGAACCATTCGATTATCGATTTCATTTCAAAGATAATAAAGTCGTTATTACAACGAATTTATCATTTGTTTCAAATTTAAATCCGGCTTAAGATCCCCCATTGGCTACTGTAATAATTTGACCAAACCTAAAGGACCTTTTCACAGTTAAAAGGCTTATAGTATTAACCACTGGTCTTTGAAAAGGTTATTTTTTTGTAGACTACGGTTTGTAGTGTTTTGTCGGTTTTAATTTTTGCGGGAATTTCGGTTTGCTAATTTATAATTTATGGTTTAAGGTTTTTATAAGCTACTGGGACTGGTAATGATTTTGTTTTGTTCTTAGAGATAGAGTCGAACTTGGATAAGCTAGAATCAATAATCAAGTGCGTTCCGGAGGCCTAATTTAGTCCTCTTTCCCATCCTTTATCTTATAAGGAAAGGATTGGAAGTGGAAGTGGACTTTTCGGATGAGAGGATGCATGGAAATGTTTTCTTTCTGTGCATCCTCTCCTCCGTCGATTAAAAGCAACGCATATGCGATTGCTTTGTCTATGGGCAACGATCACTTCGCTATTTCAGTGATTTCAGGTGACCGCTCGTTTGCCACCTTATGATATAAATACAAAATAAGCGAAAATTTAAAAAAAAAATATTTAAAATTTAATAATCTTGTCATCAGGTGAATACGTGATCCAAGGCGAACTGCCCCGTGAGCTGGTGAACAGTGAAGAGTCAAGGTTCGATCTTCTGGAGGAGGCGTTACAACTTGTTGAACTCGGAGACGAAGCAGAGCCTAAGGATGAACAAACTGAGGTAGACTTTCGTTCTTTCTAGACAAAGTATTCGATAAGTGAAGTGGTGAAGCAAACGCTTCGTGTTGTCTACAACACTTAACAATGGTAGAGCCCGCTTTAACATCTTCGCACGAATTGGCCCGGCTCGCCCGGTCAAATACCACGACCACACAGAAGACACGCCTCCAGTCCGAAGCAATTCCAACTACAGTCTGATGAATGTGCGTCCCGGAGACCTAATTTAGTCATCTTTCCCTTCCCACCCTTTTTCTTATCAGGAAAGAATGTGAAGTGGAAGTGGACTTTCCGGATGAGAGGATGCATGGAAAGGGAAAATATTTTCTTTCTGTGCATCCTCTCCTCCGTCGATTAAATGTAGGCAACGCATATGCAATTGCGTATGTCTATGGGCAACGGTCACTACGCTACTTCAGCGATTTCAGGTGGCCGTTCGCTCGTTTACCACCTTATAATATAAAAAAAATTGGATCAATTGATAACTGTTGATATTCTTACAAGAAAAGTTGCATCCCATCACCATTCATTAACACACAATTCTATTCCAATACTTAGTCTATATTCTTTTTTTAAATTAAGTGATGTACGAGACGTATGACCTAAGTTACGTTATCATTATGAAAGAATGTCCGGTGCGACCGGTTGAATCGAAATCTTGTTCTTTTGATTCTTTAGTGACAGGACCCGATAAGCGCACTTGTCCTCAGTCAAATAAAAACGAACAAAATTTACTGGCTTGTACGCTTATTTTATCTACGTTTGTAAATTGGATAAAATTGACGATTCTGTGAGTGACGAAACTGTGAGAATGTCCTCCGCGGAAAATTTATTTAGCCCAACGGCTCATTGCCTAGTCCATTTCTCTATATTCAAAGTCATGTTCGCCCGAAACCTTCCTGGCCGTCAGAATTCCGTTTGCTCTTGGCCTTAACTCCATATGAAATGGTCACGTTATATGATGACGCATTATTAAATAACATGCTTTCCCTCATCAAATGATTCACAAAAGAGCCGAATTTAGTGACTGTTAAAAGAACCTTTTCACGTTCAGTTTATTTTGTTGTGTTCAATGTAATAAATGTTTTCCATTATTATGTATTGTACATAAGGATGTTACAAGATTATATGATTTTTATTTTCAACTTGCTCTCGCCCGCGACTCCGTCCGAGCGGAATTGAAAAAAACTTATTTAGTAGCCTATGTATTCTTCCAGACTATGGTTTATGTGTACGCCAAATTTCATTGAGATCCGTACAGCCGTTCTGGA